GGAGCAGTGTGAATAACCTTTGTACACTTGCAGTCAAAGGAGAACTTCACCCACAAAATGATCCTTTGTGTCTCAAAAGCTCACCCTGTGTACCTCTAATTTGTTAAGAAAACATTTCCTGCACGCCTGCATGAGGGAAGGTTGCTGAATTGAAGTAAAACTTAAGTTTAGGTGTAAATCAATAATTTCTCATCTTGATAACTGCACTTGTCAATATTTGTATGCCTGGTTAAAAATGACTATATGTAACAGCATTATCAGCTCACTTTGAACGGTTTAGTGTCTTTTAGCTCATTTTTATTTTTTACGGTCTGCTAATAATTTGTTTCTTATCAGCGCTATTTCCAAATGAAGCAGGTAGCTTTCAAAAACAACCAAAACATCTCTTACTCATTCATTTAAATTAAAATGTTTGGGTCAGTAGAATACTTATTTTTGGGGGCCAACAGCTTTCATCACTACAAGTTTCAGATTTTCGTATTATTATTTTCTTACTATTTAAATCATGCAATGTATACGAATTCTGCATTCTACTTTTCTGCAGATATTCATGTATCATCTTGTACTCTGCTGCACACAGATGAAACACAGCTGCTTGTTTTTAAGTTATTGAAAGTTCACATTTGACTATCTTTATCGTTTCACCACCAGATGGTGATACACTGTCAGACTGGCCGTCACCCTCATGTGACCCTTCACAGCCCCCCTCCTCACTGAGACCTTTGCTCCACATTATCCTACACTGCCTTGTGTCACAGGTCAGACTCCAACTATGATCCCTGTAATCACAAGAAACCACTAAATAAAAACTTAGTGGTACATGTTTTGCCTCAAAGACATAGTACTCTATCTTTGGAGTAATAATGTATGGTTTAAGTTGTCACATCACAGCTGATGACAGGCTTTCCACACATTTTCTGCACTGCCTGGTTGCTAATCCAAATTGCCCCGACTCGCAGAAAAAGCATGGATCATACAGCCATGACATGAGGATTTACAAGGTAGGTGCAATCATTTGGATTTTAATTTCAGAGAAGGAGAACATGCTGGAGCTCAGACATTATCTACAGAGAGATGCTTTAGTGGCCAACAGTTTTCCCATCTGTGAAGACAAATCTTTTTGGTTGAGGAACTAGCAGCAGGCCTCTCGACCAGCTGTCTGTCACTGGGGACCGTCGGGCCCTCTGAGATCGGATTGGATCTGTCAATAAGTCTGACAGGAAGTGCTGATGAACTGAGCGGTGCTGCCAGCGCCCGTCTCTCCCTGACACTGATGTGACCAGACAAACCTTGTTCTCTTCTCATTTAGCCATTATTCCAGCCCAGCGACTCTGCTGCGGCTACTGTAGAGCATTGTTTTTCAAATTATGCAAATATTTGTTACCAAATGGAGGTGCATATTGCGGCAAACATAGCTGGCCCCAATCTAAATAGGATTTAGAGCTCATCTTGGATTATGCTACAAGGGGGACATTAGCATTTTCATCTATTATTACTACTTCAGGCGTGTTTTAAACTATGAGTGCAGTGATAATGTATCTTCTATATTGGCCAAATGATGAATAGTCAGTAAACATTGTTATGATGCATGCCAGGAAACAGGGTTTTCTTATTTAACAATAAATCCAGCACATTATCTTCAATTTCACCAATCTGTATTCAGTCATGATAGAGCAATTTATTTTTTATTCCCAAGTGCAGTGACTTCATCTGTCAACAAAAACTCTTTAATACAACTTCATGTAACAGTGACAATGAGGTGATAACAAAAGTTGTTTTTCCCCGTGGGTTTAATTTATTAGTCCATTAATGAAAACCCTCCAGCACATGATGTAGTCGGTGGGAGAGCTGAGAGCCAATAACAGCCCGAAGAGCCAGTGAGATGTCAATTTAGTCACATATTTATTACATAAATATATAGTAAAATAGACCAGCGACAATTACCATAAAAATATCTTCCTTCAAAACCCTGACCATAAACAAAGATTTGAAAATCACACATTGACATTTACAAACACGCTGATTGTCTGGACCTGTCGTAAGCAGCCCACCACAAAAACCTGACATCACACCGCCCACTGGACTCTTGTTGGGAGGAGGAGGTAAAAAGGGGGGGGTGGTGGGTGCTAGGGAACAGCAGGGGGTTGGGTAATGACCGGGGGGGACAGGTCCAGGTGAGAGAGGGTGTGGTGTGATGGAGGTGTGAGAGGAGATCACAGTAGATATTCGGAGGTTTCCTGCGTGTGTGTGTTATTGAGAGAGGACAGTGTGTGTTTTAGCCCGGAGCGTTGCCTAAAGCTCGGCTGTATGTCCTTGCACGATGGAAATGAATCCTAAATATTTGTCCTTGTTTTGCATGACTGAACAGGGACATCATCAGAGAAAGAAAACAGACATATCAGGAACAAAACCTGGGAGTAATATAATATATATTATATTTTCAGATACTTCTTTTTGCCTGGGTTAACCTGCACCGGACACCAGGAGGCCGCGGTTTGTAGTATTGTAGCCATTTATTGTACATTATCAGGCACAGAAACTGAATACACTTTAAATAATTTCTGCTACTCTTTTGTACTACCCTGAAAATATATAAATATCTGGCACCTCTGGATAGAGAAAGAAGGAGAGATCTCTACTGTGAGTACAGTGAATGGCCATGTGTTTCCCTGTGTACTGTGTCCTCTGACTGGTCAGGGTGGGTAGACTCGAGCCCACGATGTTACTGCAAACTGTTATACATTACCAGCAATATTTTGTATTTACTCTGGATTTGTATTCATTTTGGCTTCTTATTCTCTCTAGAAATCTCTGTTTAGTGTCCCGGACTGTGATACACACAAATCTAGACATTAGTCGCTTTCATAATATGCAATCCTCTTAGTGACTTATAAGATGGTAAAACTAGGTCAAGGCAAAATAATAAAAATATATTTTACTCTGACCAAGAAATCCCCTAGAGTAAATGACACATAATGTACTATTAAAACTAGATACTGGACGACAATAAGACCCTAATTCACTTGAATGAAAGTTGTTAGGCAATCATATTTCTTGACTCTGGGAAAGTTTACAAAAAAAAAAACGTTAAAAAAACAATTGACCTTGTTCTAGTCTGATGCGTCCTGTCAAAGTATTTCTAATGTCTCTTTTGAAGCTTAAATAAACGTTTTTTTCATTGCCTAATATCTCTTTTAGCATAGGGTACACTGGACCAAAGGAAAAGAGATAATGTCTAAAATCCATTGGGGCAGCAACATTTAAAAGGACGCCCCATTAAAGGTCAATAACATCAGCTTTTGCTGTTTTATTGTACATTATGAATGAATGAAAAGCATCCTCTTTAGGAGGTGTCATTCTCTTTCAGACAGAAATCCTTAAGTTGTACAGCATTTGTCGATGTAACACATTTTCTATGTGTGATAAACAGATTTGCTTAAATTATCTTCAGTAGGCCTATGCGGTTGTTTACTTATTCACATCTGTACTTGACATTTCCTTAGAAGTTATGAAACATGGTTAGGAAAATACATTGACTGCTTGACTGCCATGTATCAACTTTAAAGGACATTTTTCTCAGTAAAGGTAATTTGTGATTTTTGTTTTTTTAACATATTTTTTTCCACCTTATGAGTCACTAACATTGCTTCCAACTGTAATTTGCTGAGCCTTAAACACCCAGTTTGAGGAGGGTCGAGATCAGTGACAAACTGGTTTTTCTCTTTGTGGTTCCCAGTTTTCTCCAGAGATAATAGGACTTGCCTACTTTATTGTTTGCATTGAGGGCTGTGACAACAGGTAATCTGACCCTTCACATCCTGTCTTTGGCACCTTCCTAACCCTGATCCTGACCGGACAGGTCGTGACCCCTGAGTGTCTGAAGAACACGTTGAAGCTTTCCCAGCAGCCTCTGTAGTCACAGTGAAGCAAGGAACTCTTGAAGGAGTGATACAAAAGTAAAAAAGGTAGTTGTATAAGCTGAATGTGAAGGTTGTTTATAGCTCATTTGCACATTTACTTAATTTTTTCGTAGGTTTTGTAAAACACATTCTGCTGGTTTGAGTTATAGTATGTTTGAATAGTCCCATATATACTGAGCAGGCTTGAACAGGGTTCTTGAGAAGATGCAAGAGAGAAAAAAGACAAAGAAACTTCAAATCAAAACATAACCCCCGAGAGTACTCTGCAGATTTGCTCTTCAGCATGCTTCTATTGAATTTGCTGACATATCGAAACACACAACGTTTGCAAAACTTTTTTAAATGCATTGTCCAGTCCTGAAATCTGGCATCTTTGTGTTAAATCAAGACAAAGTAAAGTCCTGTTGATGCTTACCATTCATTCAGATCTACATCAAAGACCTTTACTTTCTCTTGATTTATCATGATCATCTTTCATCTTGAGACTTTCTACTAGGACAGTGGATCGTAGAATAGTGAATACAGACACACAGACAGTTCATAGACACTTGTACATCAAAACCTCACCTATAAATAAAGTCTGACATGTAAACATCTACCAGCACCAGAACCTGTTGCATCTACCAGGTATCTGCTTTTTAGCGAAACACTGATCCTGCTGTTGAGGAAACCACTTTGAAGCATAGCGCATTTTTGCTAAATGTTTTTAACAACATAGCCTACTATAAGCATGCCAAGCTTTCTGTACATGCGACACTGAGTCTTTTCTGTTGTAAACAATGTGAGCAAAGAGTTGGTACAGTAAAGAAGATGTTCCCAGTGGTTCTCAAAGAGGTGGTTGTTGGTGATTTTGCTGGTGCTGTATAAAAGTGGCTTGGACCTGCTACAGAGTGGAAAACTGTTTCGAAGTTGATCCCTTTCTTCAGGTTTAAAAGTCAGCAGAGAGAGAGAGTTCCTCTGGTTTTGCATACAACAGTGAGAGCAGATAGTGTATGTGCTCTGACGGTTTTAGACGGAACCGACAAAGCACACGTGTTGGACCAAGAGAGGGTGGGGGGGGGTGGGAGAGGAAGAACGGAAAGCACCCTTTGAGGCCGGTTTTTCAAACCTGAGCAAGTCAAAGCCTTTTTTTTTTTCAACCTGACAAACATTGCATATTTTCCTCATAAGCATCTCCCCAAGCTACTCTACACTTCACATCACTGATCTAATATCTGATCTATATTCCTGATTAATAGACTAATTATAGATAAGCTAATTTGTGTACATTCTTAGCTGTCTAGGCATGTGATTTCCCACCCGTTTATAAAAATATCTCCATGACTATAAATTTCCTTTTAGATCGTCCGAGCAGCACAAAACCGCTGCAACACCTATAAGTGCTGTTAGTTCCATCTTGGGATTTGGTGTACTAGGCAATAGGACCGTGATAGTGTCCGCTCAAAGCTATTCCTAATGTCTAGTGCAGTGAAAGGAGCTCCATGTGCCATTGGAAAAGGAAAGGAATGTCATCATGATCATAACAACTTTCATTTACACAATGCCTCACATACGTGTTGGCTGCCAATCAGTATTCTAACAGTCACATTTGAAATTGCAAACAGTCTGAACGCGCATCTAATGTTGACAGCGCGCTCAATAAGCCGATATGGCATGATTCAGCTCATGAAGGCTTACATATTCTCTACTGATTTGTTGAACTGAAATGGCCACAAAGAGTATTGGCTTATTCAATATTTTGTGTCACGATAACCTAAAAATCACTCTCGGAGTCCTAAACTGCTACCACCCAGCACACTAAACTCTTTACCAGAGATCCAACTACATAACGTGGGTTTTTCTAAATCGAGCCTTCATAATAGATCCTCCGGTGCCCTATGAAACACGCTGTAGAACAATACCACATGGAGGAAGGATACAAAAGCAATCAATAAGGCCATCATATGGAAAGAGAAACAAAATGATAAAGCCTCAAACTGCAGGCGCGGCATTATCTGAGCCGGTCTGCCAGAAGCGTCTGATTGTGAGAATTCCTGCAGCTTTTATTTTTGAAATATTCCACTCTTGCAATTCAGTGTTCCTGTCCTGCAACCCCACCACCCTCATAAACTGTAACAATGGCTTCAAAGACTATCTTTTAGCCCGATGAACACAATTTTAGTTACATTCTTCAAAGGAAATAATACACGTCTGTGACAGGACTCTGTTTTACAGACTTCTGTCATGTACCACGGCCTGAAAAGGTGCTTTTGGACTCGGAAGGGAAGGAGGAGGTTGATCTGATAGCAGGATGTTCAAAGCAAAGTTCACACACTACAGTTCTCTCACATGAGCATGGATGCTGACATTCACATGCACACACCTATACACACGCAGAGCCTTGGTTTTTAGCCATGCCATTCTTTCGGTACATCACACAGCTAAACAGTAAGCACACTGAAATAGAACAGGCGTAGAGATGGAGGAACAAAGCCCCCCCCCCCCCTGATCCCCTCAAGGCTGGATGGTGCGTGGCTTGGAAGGGAGCCAAGTACAGTTGTATGTACACCATTAACCAACTGGGGGGGAGCTGCATGTTGCTGCTGCCACTTTGACCGTAAAGGGAGAAAGTGCAAAGACTACTACTGACAGGACGGGCTGAGTTGACTTTGAACACCATGGCACGTGTTTATGAGAAAATGGGATTTAAGATAGGTCCGCTGGATCCTTTCTTGCTGTGCTATGGAAGCCCATTCCTGCCAGGAATAGGAAAGGTTGGGGATGCTAGAAATAAATATAATTATATAACTCAAAGTAAGAAAAAATAAAACGTTTTAAAGTCATTAATAAAACATAATTCAGAGATGAAGAAATCTAGATACTGACAGCAAATCAACATTTCTAAGATTGTAATTTTCATGATCTAAATGATGCCCGTATCATCCTGGATTTTTTAGGTCAAAAATAATTCCCTTTGATAATATATCTTAACTTTTGAGATTTTGGAATTATGAGGTAAAAAGTAAACTACTGACCAACATTTCATTTTTGATTTGCCATGAGTAGAGTTTATCCATAGAATGTAATTTCCTTTTGTTTACGCTAGCCTAGCTAACAAACGTAGCCTCGAGTCATCCACAGGGTTTAGGGGGTCTTCTCTGGAGAGATCAGATCCTCAGTTTAAAAAGCTCATACTAATGTTACCTTACATTTCAAGGCACTCCAAATAGCTTCATACATGTGCTGTTTTGGGGCTGAGTAGGTTGTAAAAGGAAGCCACTGGTGGTGTGTGGACCTGCAGTCCCTTCTCTTGACTGTGAACTGGTTTACCACTTGTTCACACCGTTGGTTGAACTTTTATAATAATAGGGGACTTAATCGCTCTCGTTGTTAGATTAGCATTACTTTTGGCCCTTATTTCAAATTTAAGAAGAAATTCGAGACATTACTTTGTCTAATGAGATATTAAACAATTGGTGATTTGAATATTTATCGAATAAGGCCATAGCTTTAAGTAGCCTAATAAAACATCTAAGAAGACCCTGGGAGTAGAATAAATATTCCCATACAAATAATCAAAGTAGAATTGGAGTGTCAGACCATTTTCCATTTGAACTGTTACCTTGACAAAGTTGTTTTGGTTCATGCTACCGATGAGAATACAGTACACTTTCTCAAAACCATTTCATCTCTAAACCCTAAAGCACTGTGCCCCTCTCCTTCTCTCTCTCTCTGGCTTCCCTGTGCTTAACCATCAGCCGTCCCGTGACCTTTTCTGTCTCCCCTGGCTGTCGTTGCCTCATTACCTCCGTATAGGATGTTATGTTTTCGCCTCAGTTCTTCAAATTACGCTCATCAAATTAGAATGTGGTCGTCTGTTTGTCAGCAGGATTAGAGAAATGACTCTTAGGGTGTAGCATGGGCCAAGGAAGAGTCCATTATGTTTGAGCTGATCCAAATGATGGTGCAGAAACACCATTTATGTTTCCCTTTTCTAAAAGGTGCGAGGTAGGCCATTTGTGCTGCACTGTTCTCTGAATAATAGGAAACATTGTTCCATGCTGGTCTGTTTGGTAACATCTGGAAGTTGCTTTAAGAGCCATATTCTTCACGATTATAATATACCCATTATTTTGACATCCCAGCCCATGGCGTAATTTTGTTGGTTATTCTGTACACATGACATGTATTGCATGTCTGTCAGTAAATGAAGAGGGAGGTTTATTCAATGTTTTAAATACAGATTGTAAAGCCCTTTGAGGCACATTTGTGATATGGGGCTGCATAAATACAATTCATTTGTCTTTTCCTGGCAGGAATGGGGTTCCATATGGAGCAGCACAAAACATAAGCAAACAACTCCCACTCTCAAACAAGACAGAAAACACTGTCCCACCTCCACACATGAAGTCATGTGTTTTCATTAAGGGCTAAGAAAGCAATGACTTTAGTATTTGAGGTAGACACACGACCCAAATCCTTGAAGCCTGGATGTCTATACCATTTCAATCTGGAGCGAACACAGAACAGAACAAAAGGTACATTGCTGATTGTAAATTGAGAAGACAAAAAAAAAGAGGAGCTAACAATGTTTTTTCATCTAAGGTTCATCATCATTTATTAGAAAATGTTCTTTTACCTGAGAGAATCCTTCAATAGCTTCCTTTACCCAGTCACACAAAGTGGTCTGTGTGTGTGTGTGTGCATGTTTGTGTGTGTGTGTGTGGAGCGGGTCTAAGCTGATGCTCTCATGGGTGGGAACATTTTAGAATCAATCATGAGATTACTATTTTCCCACAATCATAAAAAAGATCTGCTGAGATAAGAACTACGCCAAAAGGTTCACTCACTCACTTATTGCACTTCAATACAAAAAGAATCGTAAACTTTATAATTAGTCATTAGGTGCCTTAAGGCTGAAACTCTCATTTTCGGGTTAAACTAATTTGAAAAACAATTAACGTTACAAAAGGCATTTGGCTTGGGTGCAATTTGACTTTTTTTTCCTGTCAGCACAATTATTATCACCAAAGATCCTTCCACGTCTCGTGGATTGGTTTGGGCCGTTCAAAGTGCATTTGAGTTAAGTGCTCATGTTCAACGGGGGCTCAGTAGGTTGTAGATGTTTATCATTTTTTCTCGATTACAAGTCAGGTCAAATCCTTTCCTCATGTCTAAAAAGTAGAGGAATAGGTTAGGTAAACGTAGCTATGCTATGTTTCCCACTGATAGACATCAAACACCCACTCTTTATCATTACATTAAGTTGGTCGCAGGATAGAAACAATTAAAGCTTTACACACATATTGCAGACAAGTGAGTTAAGGGGATTTTCTAAATCTTGTAATTCGTGGCCCTAACGTTGGACCCACCCAACGATGAGAGCATCGCATCAAGAAGACGTACCCAAACCTCCAAACAACACACACATAAATGCACACACACCACTTTCTGAGCAGTTTACAAATAAACAGCACATCTCGTAGAATCCTTATTCTCCACAACATCCCCAGTACCCCTCCTACTTGTTCTACCGTGGAGAGAGGCAGTCAGCTGGGCTAAAGGCCAGCTCACCAAGGTAGTCCAGACCCCCGCTGATATAAGTAGCGAGATGTCCAGAACATCTGGAATTCAAGCCAGGCCAAATTTTACAAGCAGGACTGGCTCGCTGTTGTTACGTTGAGCTTTTCTGTGGGAGGGAGCAGGAGGGAAATTGCATAGACATCTTGCTACTTGCGTATCTTCACAAACTCTACATTTGGCATAGGGGGGGACCAAACACAACCATGAAGCCAAAAAACAGACAATCTCCACCCTTGTCCAACATGTCAACATGTGAGAATAAATCAGGATCATAATATTTATGGATGGGATGAGTTTGCCCCCGCAGAGCCAGCCTTGAATCTCTGCATGTTGTGGTGCTGCTAACGCAATTTGCGGTAGTCTGGGTGTCATCAGAGACCAAATGACTTTCAGCTTATGCCAGGAAGAAATGAAAAACATATATGGGGCTAGAGTTCAAACTTTCATCACCAGCTAAGACTCAGTTTACACTTCATGTGTCTCGGGCAGAGTGGACCGTTATTGGACTGCAGTAGAAATGCATATCAGAGGATTGACATTTGAATGCGTGCGAGAAGAGTATTCAGGTGCATTCTTGCCAGATGTGGAAAAGTCTGAATGCATCTGTAATGTTCACTCTTAAGTGTAACTACATCAGTAAGCTGTAGATAGATGAAGCTTCTAGAGCTTCTCATGTTTTGAGGAGCTTCAGATCCAAATTGCATATAGCCCGCATAAACAAAGACATGATCCGTCCAATAAGAGATACATATATGTTGCCTAGTGTTAATAACAACGTATTGAATCTGGATTTTAAAAAAGACACATGAAATGACTACAAATTGAACCTCTAATAGTCCCTGGTTCAGGTTTATGACCACCTTGTATCACAAACTGAGCAAGAGGTTTTGAGGCTGGCTTCTGGGAGGCAATGGGATGGTGGACGAATGGGGAAATCCATGTTGGCGGTTTCCAACCTTGATGCGTGTGCTTTGCAGCCACGCTAGCTGACATTCACTTCAATATTAACCTGCTTATGTTCTATTCATCTGCCTCTCCCACTGTACTCATCAAACCACCTCACTGCCCTGCAGACCTTTAGCCACTGTGGCTGCTGGCAACACTCACATCAAGAGTTTGGAAGAACTGATTCCATAGGTGAACACACACACACACACACATAACTATAGACATTCATGTGTGGTGTGTGGTGTCGTTGTGAGAATTTGAGGGGTACGCATCTATCTCTTTGCAAACAACAGGAGGCACAGGGTTCATGATTAATGTCACGGGGCACTTCTGAATATGGATCAGCATGCACATGTGAGAGAGTGCACACACACAGACACACAGACACACACACACACACACACAATAACGTATGAAGCATTACACATTACTTTGCTTTTTTCCCTCCTCTTACATTGGAGCGGGATGGAGAGGTTAAATGTACTTTGTTGCAATAAATCTCGAGTGTTGTATGTTTTTGTATTTACATCCTTGGTTATGGCCAACAATAAAATGTAAATAAAAACACAAATAAAATCAAAAACAGAAAACATACAAAAATACACAACATAGTATTGCACCTTGCAGATGGGCAATATATATTCTCAGTTTAGTTGTAGGTTGGTAACGTCTATGTGACACCAATATAGTTTCTGCTGGTGTGTGGAAGTTGGGTTGTGGGTGCCGCGCTCAGGTCCAGCCCCCTCCTGTCAGCTACATTCAATACCATAAAACTGTCAGCCATTACAAAAGTCTTAGTCCCTCAGTCTCTGGGCTATTCACATTTTGAAGTTCACTGTCTAAAGACTGTGCCTTTTTAAGTTGGAGAACTACACGTTAGCTGATGGTCTCTAACGTCTCACAACCAAAGAAGGTAGAGCACAAAAGTTTGAGGGAAGAGTCATTTTGTAACTTCTACTGATGCGTACACACAAGCACATATTATCTTAACATATACATTTGTTTTAAATCTATATATGCATCTCTGAACTTTCACATGTGCCTGCAAAATATGACTCCTCCCAAGTTCCTTTGAGTGTTGTGTTGTGTGAGGTACGACAAGATTGTTTTTTTTTTTTTTGTATTTTCAGTTTCTGTTGCATTATTTTTCCTGTTTGTGTTTTTTTTTCTCCAAAGTTGTATTTCATAAAAAAAGAAAAATATAAAAAAGAAATTCCTGTTTTGTTGGTTGTAAATTCCTCCTGATAAAAGGGGACGGACAACTGGACAGACACACAGACAAATAGATCAGTTGGCTTATCAACACAAAGTATAGATGTGAAAAAGAAGTGAAATATTGTCTATGTTACACTGCACGCATGGTCAAAAAGTGACTAGAGCTGTTTTTTAAACCTTTTTTACACAGAGCAGTTTAAGCGTCAAAAAACAAACAGAAAAATAAGAAAACAATGATAAAATGAAAAATTCTCCAATAATTTTGTTCAGGAGTCTGTTTTTTAAAAAGTCATCTCTTTTCATTGTGTTTTGTGGATTTATAATCATTTCATATATCTTTTTTTCTGAATCTGAATCAGACTCAGAAAGTAAAGCAGCATTATAACCCCGACTGTCACACACACACATATCCAGTCAGCTCACGAGAACAAAGGACATCAATAGGGTTTTTTTCTCTTTTTCAGTTCTTTTGCAAAGATGTGTCGGAATTCCAAACCTACATCTCTGGAATGAGCGATCACGTTCTGATCCTCACTACATGACAGGTGGGGGGTTATCCTTTTGGAGGGAGCTGAGGGGGACATTTGGGGTTGTCAGCTGGCATGGGAGCAGGGGCTCATATGTGGTCGTTGTGGGAACTGAAAGGGGAGACGCTACATATTCCAACACTGCCGTCTCCCCTTCCTCCGAGTGTTTGTTAGCATCGTCCGACCACATCACCCTCTGTCACCCATGTCAATGATGGCAGTGAGGGTCGCGGACCCTCAGCTTTGTGTTTCCTGTCCGACGCTTTCTTCTCTCGCATCTTCACAATCTCGCGTTCAAGTCTCTCGTTCCCAACGCTGCTGCTTTGCCTTTCACATTCATTCGGTGGCGCCACACTAAAGGGCAGATATGGCCAGCCTTGTCTCACAAGGAAGTGGCCTGGATCCCGTTTGGTGTCAATGATTCTGGGCCAAACTGGGCGCATCCCACTCGGCGGTGGGTGGGTAGGATAGCTAGGGTGCTTCGTGAAGAGGAGAGGGGGAGAGAAGATGATTGAAGGGAGGGCTCTGAATTTGAAATGTCACTGGGCTGACTCTATAGGAAGGATAATCAGGGAAATGGATACTACAAGGAGAATTAATAAGTGCTACTGTGCACAGCCCTCCTACGCAGGGATCTCTTTACGCCCCTGGTTGGGATGATTTAAGGGTGAGGGTCATGTGCTGTGGGTCTAATACTGACAACGGGTCAGGTTTGGGACTGAGCCCACTTCAACGGCCAGCCTCTGTTACACAGAGCCACCAAAACTCACCTTCGTAAGGAGCGTCCCGCACCAAACGCACCCTAAATGACGGGAGTTTTGGTGAGGGACGCAAATGGGGAATCCAACAAGAGGTGTTGGTTTGATGAGTAGGGGGTCGCTGCAGTAGTGCAAAAGCTCCCACCAGCCAGGCTAGGTGGGGGCTGTTATAATGTTGGTGGGGGTACAATTTAGTCAAAGCTAGGCTCCAGAAAGGACATAGGCTAGATTAGGGTAAGGCTATGGGATGGATCTCTAAAAGTGAGGATGATGCTTGTGAAGGGGATTCTTCTGGGAGTCAGACCAGGCTCCACAATTTTGCCCAAAGGTGGCGTTCCAGTTCCTCTCGCCTCCCAGCGTTGCTCTAGACGTCGAAGCAGCGAGGCATGGCCATTTGTGACGATTACCCATGATCCCTGCCACATGTTGCTCTGCTTGGGTGCTCCCGAGGGGTGCAGATTAGCCATCCTGTACAAGTGCCAAGTATGAAGTACTGTTTGGCGTTGAGTATAAAATAGATTTTCTTAGTCTCTCTTTTCTTTCATTCTCTTCTTGTAAGAGTGGTAAACCCAGTTAGATTTGGCATGGCCCCAGAATTGGAATGAACAGAGTGGGCTTTTATCTAATCAATCAACATTGGTGAATGGTCCTTTGGCTAGTACACTATGATATTTGCCATGGATATAATTGCAGTGAGATATTACCGTTATAGTGGTGAGCATTGGTAAAGTGCATGAGACTAAAAGAGCTTTTGAGTTTAAGAAGCTTCATTTCGGTTTAGAACATTGTACCTTTTTAAGTCTAATGCACTGTCCATGCATCAGAGAAAGCTTATTTCAGAGAAAATATTTATCAAGATCCAAGGACAGCCATCATGAGTGTACTATGGAAGATAGCCATAATGCAGAAGCAAACAGCCCTTTCTCTGCATGCTAATTCAACGGGCGTGGCCGATGCGGGTTCTAGGTACTCTGTTATCTATCCTCTTGCTACTTGCGCAAATGGGTGTCAGCTGGGCTGCACATCTACAGTGTCCTTCGTCGCTCCTGTGAGTCGGCTTCTGTTCTGACAGAAACGGGGTAAATCCAAATTTCAAAAGACGACATTTGGTCCCATATAACGAAAAGAGATAACCCGAATGTAATGGGTACCATTCCCTGGAGTCGGTAGAACCATCCGGGGGGATGGCTGGCCCTCCTGTCTTCAATGGTATTTCATTTCAACCAAGTGATAGAACTGAGGATGTGTGTGTGTGTCTATGAGTGTTTTGTCAATTCCTGACTACAAGTGTGCACCGACGTAAATATTATGCACATTTCTGTGTTAGCCTACACATGCGCCAACTCAAATGGTGTATGTCTGTGTGTCGGCTGTGGGCAGCTGCCCCGTGTCCACAGAGGTGAGGTAGTGCCTGACACCACAGGGGCAGTAGTGCCGCCCCAGCCTGGGGGTGTATCCACTTTGAGGTAAATGGTAGCCTTCTTGGCATTTGCCTGCACTCAGTGATGCCCATGGTAAAACAAGGCAAATGTGTATGGAAGCCTGGAGGGGCCACACTGAGCTGAGTCCGTGAGGAGGGGACTCTGAACAAACCCTGCAGGTTAGGGCTGTATATTGACACTGACGTGCAGTGCATACAGTAAAATGAGGCATTCATGTTACTCTGAGGTGATGTGTGTTTTCATGTTAATGTGTGTCTGTGTGAGAAAAATACAGAGAGAAAAAGAGTGTGTGTGTGTGTGTGTTTGTCGAGTTGAGCTTTGCTGCCTCGCTGGTAGTTGCTGCTATTGAAAACCTCCTTGGAGGCTGTGTGTGGGAGATTTACTCCTGACCCTGGCTCTGACTCTACAGTCCAGCAATTAAATCTGGATTCCTCTCTCCATCTCTTCTCCTCCCTCCTCTCACATCCTTCCTTTCTTTCTTTTTTCTTCCTTTCTTTATTTCAATGCAGTAACTCCTTGGAGAGAGAAGGGTTTAACTTTCATTAAAAAGCCAGAAGGGCTCTCACACAAGCAGCTCGGGCAATGACAAGGCAAATCTGCTCAAATGTGTGTAAATGTGTGTGTGTGTGTGTGTGTATGTCACAGGAGCCGGTCCAATGACAAAAATATGAAGGTAGATATGGAGCCATGTTCTGCACATTACTTTTCAAAGGCAGACAACACAATTTCATAAAACTGGAGTAGCCTTTTATAAATATAGCACCGGTATCACTGGGTTCGAATAAGATACCCAGAAACAGCTGTAACGGCTCAGATTGAGTTGAGGAATCGATAATAAGACTAAGTCTGGTAGCTCTGCTATACAGCAGCCATTTTACACCAAAGTAATGCTTAAAGCATTTGCTGAAATTTCACTGTGCAGTGTTTGCTGATTGCATGTGCCTGCATGACTGTGAGCATCAATATCAATGTCACCGTTGTCCATATTTTCTGAATTACTGACTTAACACTTATTCAGAAATAATACTGAGAGGTGCTGGCCAGCATGGCAGCTGGAAACATGGGCTTTAAAAAGGTGTGTAAATCGGTGACCGTTCAAAAAAAGAACACGAGAGGGGGAAAGGACCCCCGAAAAGAGCGCTGCTCTGAAGAACTGAGGTGGAACAGGCTGTGGCTGTGTGTGTATGTGCATGTGTGTGTTTGTGTGTGTGCGTGCATGTGTGTGTTTGTGTGTGTGTGTGCGTGCGTGCAAGTGTCTTGGCAAATGGATACAACTCTTACTAAATAAGACATCATCCTCAGACAGAAGGGCCCCCACACAGATTTTGAAACAGGGGTAGGTAAAAGGAGGAGAATTAGGTGGAGGAGAGGGCTGTCGAAAAACAAAAATCCTCTGTTTGCTCGACTCTCCTGTTGCTGGTGTGTTGTTTGTGTATTGGTTGGTTCCAGTTTTTAAACCACATCTGTAAATGCAATGTCGGAGGAATGCAGATTCCTGCCGAGAGGACTCTTCCTCCATCCTTTCCCTGTAAAAACGATGGCCCTTCCATCTCTCAGTTTGCCCCAACTTCCTCTTCCCTTTGCGTGGTGGGAATTGTGTTTCACACCTCCTGGTCCTCGAAGACCTCCAGGAAGAGCGGGGGGAAGAGTTCATTGGGACACTCCACCTTCATGTGAAGGAAGCGGCTGGCGTGGCACGCCCCGATCATCCGCAGGTCGGTCACCTTCATTAGGAGCTTCGGCCAGAAGTGAGGAATGTTGTGCTTGCGGTAGTTGATGTAGTGCTCAAACGCCAGCAGGTAGGTCTCCTGGCACTTCTCGATCTTGTCCATGCAGGTCAGGCCAGAGCGATCTGGGGATAGGAAGATACGGTGGGGAGGGAGGAAGAGAGGTGAGTGGATCATTTAAGAACAAGGAGAAAATACAAAAAAGGAGAGAGGGAGAGAGTGAAAATTAGTGTATAAGAAATCAACAAATGAATGCTGACTAAATGTCATCGTTTTATAACTTTCATTTGTTTTTATGGACAATTTCCATTGGGAAATACTTTGTGTACTGTAATGCCTCGATTAGGGGCTTGGTACCTTGAAATCATATTCATTCTTACTTTCTAATAACGCGGGGCTACCCTGGGAATTGTTACATTGCTTCTTTTGCGAGAGGCCACCATAATACATATCCTGTCTTTATTTGCATTCTATTATTTCAAAAACCCTGAGCACATTATGTGACATGAGTTCCAAAACCCTAAAAAGTCTCCTGTTTTGATAGTGAACTAATCAAGAGTTTTTTTAATCAAATTTAGGAGGAGATTTAGGATTTCCTCCTTTCAACACTGAATATGTATGTGGGACTTTAATTATCAGGCCATAATTACATTTGGATTCACAAAAGGTTACGATATATCAGTAAGGCAGTGGGTAATGAATATGGACAGTCATGGAATTGTGTCTCCAAGGGCACAGAAGACTGAGCATTTACATTTACATTAGGCTCAAACTCCCAGAGTATTATAAGCAGAAAGGAGAGGCACAGCCATGCAGCTTTAAGTTTTAGAGAAGTAGTCAACCTGAGCTCATGAGCAGCACGGCCTGTAGCAGCGCCACCTCTGTGTCGTCGAGGTTGAACTGCGCCAGGCTCTTGCCCAGATCGAAGATGGCGTCCGACACCACGCCCAGCCCGCCGTTCTTCAGCTGCTCCCGCTTCACGGCCATCTCCCCACTCAGCGTCAGCGTCTCACTCTCGGGGTCGTAGCGGATGGCGGCTCGCAGCGACATGATCTCCATGCAGCAGCCCTTCAACAGGATGATCTGGTCTTCACACGGTAGCTGGGGGGAAATGATTAGAGATATTGGTGGATGATTTGAACAAAAAGAAAATGTTACATACAGTAACAGTTAATGTGGGTACAGTTTTCTCATTCATTTTAGAGTAGGGGTTTCAGGGTCTTATTAAGTTCATTTTCAGGTTCATATTTGCATTAAGTGCCTCTACTGGGACATGTCTCCATGCTTTAATGTTTAAAAAGCTCTTGATTTTTCTCATACTGCCTCTTTTCACCCTCTGTCTGAAACCAGAGCCCAGTCTGCTGCGAGTGTTGTCACTATGTTGTGGAAGTAAACAAAGGATTTCATTCGAGGCGTGTCACGCTGCCCTCAAGCTTTATTACTTTCCACAAAAAAAAGATTTCCTGGATTACAACAAAACAAAGTTGAATGATAACACACTGAAGCACACACACAATCCCTCTGGGGATGAAAAGACAAGAATAATGCCTTGCACAAATGGAGAGGGAAAACAAAACAACACATTTTTTTATTTCTCATTTATTTACTACACTTGACTTCACTTAGGATGAGAAGCACTGTGACGGAGACAAACTGCTGTATGGAGCAGGACATACTTTAGATAGAGGGAGAACAAGAAGTGAGGAAGGCACAGATGGGAGGAACGGGAAGATGTATTGAAAAGAAGCAGATGTGTTTTTCCCCTGATGAACACAGATTAGATAGATAGATAGATCGTACTTTATTGATCCCAAATTGGGAAATTGTTTTTGTTACAGCAGCATAAAAGGCATTTTACAATAAAGCAAAACTACAAAATATACAAGAATAGAAATAAAATAAAATATACATGTCGAAATAGAAAATATACATGCAGATATTATATATATATATACAAATATATTATATATATATATATTCAAAATATATGACATTATGGAATATGGAGTATAAATATTGAACAGATTATATGAGTAAAATGTACAACGTGGTTTAATTTCTAGAGAAACTATGGAGCAGAGAGTTCTCTTCCAGCCAGAGGTGATTTGTTGTACAGTATTATTGCAGTGGGCAGGAATGTGTCCTTGTGGCAGGGGAGCTGCAGCAGTCTGTTGGAGAAGGAGCTCCGTTGACTGTCCAGCTGCAGGTGGAGAGGATGGGTGGGGTCCATGATGGGGTCCTCCTCTCCACCACAGCTCCAAAGGGGTCCAGCTTGATGATAACTAATACACCCCGATTTACATGGATATTAGAATCTCTGAGTTGAAACCCATTTGATTAAATCTAAAGACTGCTGCGCTGAATTAAATCTCACCTTAATGCAAGCTTGTTTCTTATTTCACTGATCTCGACTGCTGAGCAGATGAATTACCATTAATTGTCTGATTTGTCTTGTAAATGTGTACCTGGAGGGCACGCTTCATTTTCAGCAGCTGTGTTTCTGCGCATTCTTATCTGTAATTTACTGCAGTGGCATGAACAGATCTCATGGAAGCTCAACCTCCTTCATCAGATCCTTTCATAATGTAATCTATTATATTGTGAAGAATAGATAGCATATTGAACGTGATAGATTATCTGCTCCAATGTCTGGAATATTATTACTGCATCCTTATCTGCTGCTGTTTAGTTTCTTCATCTCTAAAATTAATAGATTATCCAGCAGCAGTGGGGAGAAATGTATTCTATTTTACGCTCTCATTTGAATAGTAGCATCCATCATAATAGAAACATTTGATATAATAGGGTAATCTGAAAGACTTGCTGATATGCTGATTAAAAAAGCGACGATCTCTTCTTTCAAACCCATCACTGATCTATGTTCTCAAAAGCAGTAATGGATTACAGTTACAACTGTGCCTCACACACTGGTTTCCTTTCTTTCTGACACACACAGCCGTCCCACCAAACAATAACTGAGGCCTCCCTGATAATTATCCAATCTAAGGTCTCATTACCAGCGGCAGAGACAAGAAACATGATTACACGCTGCTAATCAAGGCGGGGCCAACAGGAGCAGAACTGCTGGCTGTGTTTTTCAAGTCAAAAAAGTGTAAATGCATGTAAATGATCTGCATATTTATCCCTGCTTTTTTTTTTTTTATAGGGGAATACGCTGCGAAAAATGTTAATTTCTTATGTCAGATAGTCATTGCTCACCCCCTTGTTGCCTTGAAAACGTTGTTTTAATCTCATGCCTTTATGGTGAATGATACACTTACACAGTCTTGATGAAATTAAGTAAATGGGGGCCCTAGGAAAAGCACAATTAATTCTAAAACTCTGTGGTCAAACATAACTCGTCAAGTGTAATGAAGTCCAAGCTACTTTTATTCATCAAGAATGTTCCCCATTTTTGGAATCCTTCTTCCCTGTTGAGGCATGCCACTAAAAAATACAATTGTATTCAAGCATTTCAGGTAACACAGGGTGAGCTAGTGATATACAAATGGTCATTCTGGGGCTCAAGTTTTAAAAGGCAAAGATTTCTGAAAGAATTGCATGTGTGAAATCTTTTTGACCCTTACTCCACAGAACATTAGTCTTTTTCCACAGCATACTGATAAATTGTTCATAGTGTCTGTATCTCTGGAACCTACTGTTGGTGTCCTCCTAAAATAGAATAACTGCAAGACTAATTGACCTCCTAAATCATACATCCCCTCCACTAACACACTAACTGGTTTGTCTTCTGTGTGTTATCTTTCTTTGCATGTGTCAGACTCCCTCTCTCGCCCTTTACACCGTTAACCATTACTTACGTCAGAGAACATGGGCATTTTTTTGGCAAAGTCGACGACACGGGTGATGGCAGGAGTGATGATCTTGGTGAACTCGCTGAAGGCCTCCAGGTCCACCTTGTCTCCGTCTGACGTGGGAGCAGCCGGGGACTGGCCGATTTTCTCTGGCTATAAGGGAACATAAACATAAAAAGAGGGTTAAAGCCCAGTTGAACTTCATTAAACGTGAGCAAAACAGACACATCAAAAGGTGGAGTGACTCACAACTAAAGACAAAATAAAAAGTAAATAACCGATTAATAAAGATGTTATGATATATATATGTATATTTTTCCTCCATTGTTTTCCAAAACCTATTCAAACACATCAATGAGCCACACTGTTGTAATGGGTGATGAAAGCACATTACTCAAGTTTTGTATGCCTCAAAATACTTACTAGACCCCAAAATGTGTATTAATCCACCGCTGAAAATAATCCCCAAGAAATGCACACTTTTGGCCAGTTTCAGGCTATTTCAGGCTGTCTTTTTATTTAAATTAAAATGCAAAAAACCTATTCGAGACACCTTTTTAAAGATGCGTCTCTTGAGTAGAAACCAACAGACCTGGAGCTGAGCGACACAGGGAGTAAGGAAGTAAGTTAAGTAATAGTTTTCAAAGTTGGTTTTGGAGTCATTCAAAATGAGGTAGATACAGAATGTCGTTTTGTTTGAATAGACTAGGAGAAAAGAGCAAATTTGAGCTTAGTAAATTAAGCACAGATCCCTACGACAGGACAATAGAGTACATTACAAGCTTCATTGTGGAGTATGGGTGTGTTTTCAGAATTAAAGAGCACAGAAGAGTAAAATAGGATTACAGAAGAATCAATAAGATTGGTGTAGGGCTTAGAGAAAAATATAGCGGCATAAACAACACACTTTGAAATGTTTTTTATAGCCTTTTGATCCTTTCTACAAAGTGCTCGCTTGCCTCGGGGAGACAAATTAAAACCAATTTACCAGATAAGGACGGCAGATTGTGCTCAGAGAGAGGAATGGGACATGTCACCCGGCAGACAGCGCTTACTTACAGGAGGACTGCGGTGGGGAACTGCAGATCAGTGATACATATGTTTACAGAGTTGTGTTAATGGAGGTTGTGACTATGAAAGATATTGTTTCACGCGCCACTGAATAAAGCGCGTGTCAAGGCCGAAGTCATTTATTGAGGCCGGGCTGAGATAAAACTATAGAAATAATAACCTCACACAATGACCCATCAATCACCATCCAGAGGGAATCAGTGCACATTTAGCCAGTCCTCCGCTGTGCAGCTGAGAAATTATGGAAAATCTAAATAATGGTAGTATTAACTTTGATGGACTGCAAGTAGTTGTGCGAGAGCCAAAACAAAGCATTGGTTTCACTCGGTGAGGTCAGTGGCATTTTTCATTTCAGTGCTGAGGGGATGGTTCTCTGGAGAGAGCAGCTGAGGTTCAGAGCTGGAAACACACCGCAAGACTCACCAGACACTACTCACACTGAGTCTTCACCTCCAACTGTTTTAGGGTCTCTTTAAACTGGTTTAGAGCAACACATTTTCTGACTTAAGCTACCTACAGTGATATTAAGCCAGGAAGACAGTTTTCATTTTATTTGTCTACGTTTTGAGATAAATGAGATTGCAAAATAATGGAACCTACTTACTACTGTTTAATCCACAAAATAAACTTTAGTTGTATATAATCTCTATTGGCGCTGCATTGATAAATGAATCGACAGAAGTTTTTCATGTAATAATGACAACAAATTATATTGTCATTATCTCGAATAAGGAGGCTTCCTACTTTCTCTATTCAATACCTTAATAAAGTGAATATCTTCTGCTTTGGACTAACAAAAAAGACATTCTATAGACCATTGATCGATTAATCTAGAAAATAATCGGCAGAATATTCAATAAAGAAAATAATCATTAGCTGCAGCCCTAGTTTCAAAGACACAGTCAGGTCTATATGTCTGTCATTACCTATACTAAAGGGGGAGAGATTCTGGGTGTTTTAAATTACATTTTAAAATGCCCAAAAAATGCCATTGACTTCAATTCCATGGCGAATCTCAGGCAGACATCTCAGAGAGGTTTGGCCAAATAAAACCAAAACTATCTGCATGGTCAGATACTGAATGATTGATCTTGTTGTATGATAAAAAAAAAACATCATATGACACCGCACTGCAAAATGTAACAAAATCTCAGAGGATGAAAACACAATAAAGCCTGAAGGCTTAAACCAAGAGAGTTATGTGCTTCTTGGTAATTTGTATACTTAATACTTAAAATTCAAGATAGCTTTCCCACTTTTAATGAAAAGACTGTTTAACCATCCGTCATCTATGAAAGCAATTTAATAAGAAAACTAATCTTAATACTACACGTGTGGTTGGAGCTCAAGAGATCACAGCAATGTGTGTGATGATTCCGTGCACAGGCATATATTTGGGTTTGTGAATGGCCTTCACATCTTCATACTGTATGTGCTTTCTCATGGACTTATGAGATGTTCTTGCAACTGTTTATGTATGTTTATTTACTGCATGGACATCTGGGTGGCATCCAGGGAAAACACTTGGCTGTACCCGCAGAGCTGGAGAGGGATTACGTGTTTCCTGCTGTACAGACTGGTTGGTCTGGAGCCTAAACGATGTCGGAGATATCATAAAGCTCAATGTGGGATAATTTCCTCAAGAAACTGTTTTTCTGCCACGTATAGAAAAAGGAAATCATTTTCTAAATTACCCAGAAGAGGCACATGATATTTGGACTAACATGAACCCCGGTAGAGACTGGGAGTTGGCGCATGCTAAAGGTCGGGGGAGAAAGGCGGGGGGGATTTTTAATTGTATATCTGTTATAGTATTTGCTGAGATTCAACTGTTGCCCTTATATCAGATAGATCAGTGTGAGAAAGATGGTTCCAGTGGAGCCAGGGAAGATAAATGATCTTTTTATCAGGCTCAGATGGTTTCATCACTTTGCTATGAACTACATGGTTCATTCTTTATGTGATGAAGATATATTGTATAATGATAAAGATAGGTATAATGCCTTGAGTGTTTACATTTCAGAAAGATGAAAATATCCTGGGTTTTGAGTTGTTGATCCAAACATGTCAATGAGGTTTCTGCCGTCTAAACTCACCTTTTGTCCACTGTAAGGACACTTGAATTCCAATCAAATATAGACATCCTAACCTTGGGTCAATCTTCACGGAAATATAGTTATCATCTGGTAATAATATGCTCACACACACTGTACAGAAATGTGCACTGCGTGACAAGATGATAAGATCACCTTATGACTGCAGAACTGCAAGTTTGTTGTTGAAAAATGCTGATGTCTTTGAACATGACATTCTGAATGTCTAGATTCAACTAAAACCATATGTCCTCCGTGCACTGAATCACACAAGAACATCTCGGATTTTTTCATTTAGTTTGGGAATAGCTGAGTAGAACATTTTACGCTAGCCAATAGAGCCGTCTCATTTATCTAATGTTGCTGAGACCAAGAGCAAGCGGCTCGAGATAAAGTTCATGAGTTTACTGAAGAAAAAGATTTGTGTGATTTGAAAGGCTGCCAAAGAGAGTTTATGCTTCTCTTGGCTTGGAAAACTAAATAAAAGACTTGGAGCATAAATGTAGTCTGACCTTTGCTAGCAAGATAGCAGTTGGAGAGTTACATACGAGTAAGGAGTTCATAGTAGTAAATATCAATTTGCCTTCATACTTAATCATTACTATGAACATGTATATCTTAGTAATTGTTTAAAGAACACTTTCGAAAAGCTCTATTTACTTCACATGAATCAAATAAAATAATTTGTGTTGCATCTTTTGTCAGTTTGCAGACACTGCCTCTTATTCGAGAATAAACATGCAAACCCATTTGTTTGTATGTTCAAATATTCCACTTTTTATATTTGTCACATACAATAGGCTGTCTTTTTTTCCCCATTAATTGTATCTGCTCAACGTAGGTTTGCTATCCATCAGATCAAGGTTTTGAATGTACAAATGGTAATCAATAATCATGACTAGTCCTACACATATATGTAGATTCATCTCTTGTAAAAGCGTTCTTTTAGAAATGTGATTCTGAGCGTAAGAGAGAGAACATTATGAAACCGTAACTCAGACCAATGTGTTCTTGCAGATATGGGGGCCCAGTTAAATAAGACACATATGGGAAGCGTGTTTAATGTTGTCTTGCAGGAGTGAAAATTGCGCTTGAGTACCAACATATCATTATTTGAGTGCCAATATGATGCGCTAAATTGTTGGTGAGTAGGTGTTTTAGTTCATGGCCGGTTAGCACTTAAATGGAATACATTCAATGCATTTAACAAATCTAGGGCACTTTGTCTGTGATTGGAGTTTTGCCGCTTCCTCTCCTTTATGCAGTGTTTTGCGTATATTGATGCAGAACTTAATGTAATCAGCACTTCATTGGAGTCGTCATTTGTGAGCTATAAGTACAGTGTGTGTCGCTTCTGCCGTTTTAAAGCTGCCGTCCCCACAGGACTAACAAAGCTCATCCCGTTTGGCTTAGCATGTACATTTAGATATTCAGGGTTCAGCAGCTGTACCCTCCAGAGCCCCGTTAGTGGGTGAAGCCAGTGTAAAATAGAGCAGTTTATCCTTTTAGATGAGCCCAGCTCAGGGCGAAGATATACTGTATGTCACAGAAGCATGGATGGCTGTCTTTTAAATCCTGTTTTTTTTTAAAAAGCCCTGCTCTGGAGACATGCTTTAAAGGGTTAAAAAATATATTTATTAATCTAAATTATATTATAGATGTGATGTGAGTCTTGATTCATGAAGTGGAGAATGGAAAAAGTCTAACTTTTAACACCAATTTCAAATGTGCCTTTCTTTTAAGGAAATCCTCACATTTCTTTCCTCAGCTTGAAGCTTCAAACCTCCTCACCTACATTTTCCCCGTCTGGCCCCCTTCCCACCACTCCCGACCACTTCCTTCTAGTTGCCTAGCAACTTCCTTCCCGGTACTTGCTTGTACACGTGCTATAAACCCCTCTCCAAAGGAACCCCCCTCATTTCTCCAATCTTACACCCACCTACACATCCCCGGGGGGATATAAAAAAAAGGAAGCCCATCGATTTCGCCTTGAGCTCAGGTCCAATGCTGCTGTGAAATTCTTAATGAGTGTTTAAAACTGGGTAAGCACCCCAGATAATCCTGGGCCAGAACATGAGGTCAGCGCCTGAGTCTGTGAATGATACCAGGCAGGGCTGTCCAGGATGAATGTGAGCACCAGCGCAGCAGGGAGGCTCATTGAGAAACCCTGACAGCCAACAACCCTGCGCTCATAACTGAGGATTTACTCTGGCTGTGATAAGGAGGAAGCCCACAGAAAACAGACGGGCATGAATAGAGGGGAAAGTAAGGGTAGACACAGTGAGAGAGGAAACAATAAAGTGAAGTTGGGAAGGGGATTAAAGTGAAAAAGACTCAATACAGCATGTGAAAGAAAACTATGAAGGGAATTAAGGATGGTTAAGAGCCCAGAAGGATTAGGATGAATAAACCCCCCAAAACGCTGCAGAGAAGAGAGCAATAAACACAGAAACAGAGAGCTGGGAATACAGAGCTATAGAAGTCAGAAGAGCTACTATGACAGTCAGCTTTGTTTAAAAAAAGAAGAGCTGCAGCTCACCGGGATCAAATGAAACCTTACCATTTGTGACTGAGAATGTTTGTTTGTGTGAGGATATTATGCAAGTCGAGGTTCTGAAGGGGTTAAAAGCAGGAACATTGAAGCACAAACACTAAAGCAGCACTACATGGTTCACAGTGTGAAATCCCCCCTGTGGCAGCTGCTTGAGTGTTTTTGCACTTAAACAGAGTCAACAAGTCCTGAGTGCTTGTTACCGCTGTTTTAATAAACACAGCTTTATCCTCTGATCTGTAGATTTTGTTTACAGCTTTTCCTTAGGGTTGAAATGAGTTTGGGGGAATTCTTCTATATGTCAACATTGTGTTTGACAGATTACCAGCTGAGTTCTCAGACAGGGCAAGAAACACGAGGGGTGAGACAACCAGTTGGCTTTCAAAGGAGAAAGGTAAAACAACAGGGGGCAAACACAAAAACAGGGCATAGTTTTTTATCAGTTTTACAACTTATCTAAAATCTTTGTATGTCAGCATTACATTGGTAAGGTGGTCAAATATGGCCATCGCTATAAAAATAAGAGCTAAATTGAAATTAACCACAATTATCATTTAAAATCTGAAATAGATGATTAAACATTTTGTCAGAAGTTAACTTGATTAAATTCAATTTTTTTTCGTAAACTTGCTGCTACGGCACCTTGTAACCGTACAGAAAGTGGAACGTTTTAGTTGGTAAACAATGCTGTTTTGATAATAAAATAACTAGTAAATAATGCTTTAATTGGCAGTTTTTTTCCTCTTACCAGGAATTTGCGCTTCTGTTTCCACTGTGCGCCCTGAGCGTTGGTGTGCCGGTGGGCCTCCGTCACCAGGTGGATCACCTCCCACTCGCTGTCAGTGGGCTCTGGACGGTTTTGGAGGGTTTTCACCATTTCCTCTTTCTTGCGTCGCTGCCTGTTCTCTTCAATCAGACGCCGTTTAGCCACCCGCTTCGAGTCATCCAGCACCACTGCGAAGAGATGAGGGGAGAAGGAGGAGAAGGCCCGGAGGGGAAAGAGAAGGAGAAAGAGGTAAGGAGAAAGTGCAAAGGAAGAGAGGAAGAAAGCATAGAAGAGGTATGTAATTAGTTTGCGTGTTGCCTAACGTCTGCACATCGTCTAGAGATGCAGATTCTATATGAAGTTCTACACAACGCTTCTATATACAGTCCTCACATCTTTATGTCCCCTGCATCCCTTCTGCACCACTCCCTTCTTTAAAAAAAAGCAACAGTTTTAAAACACAATCTGAAATGTGTTCTTTCAGATTAATCAACAATTTACGGTAACATTTTATACCACACCCATGTCTATAATGCATATTATGAAATCCAAACATTAATGACATCATAGACATGGGTGTCATAGAAAAAGTTAACAGAATGAATGCGCTTACTGTAAACTGTATACTATAGTTATAAACACACACAAGTGTTCATAAGTCTTGTCAACAATAACATTTTGTAATAACTAATCAAAGGTCAAGTATGGTAAGACTTCATAACTGCTGGTCTCACACTGACACTGTGATACTTGGCCTTATAAAATGTTTATAATGCTTATAAGTATTGCAAAAAGCATTATGAACTGTGATTATACAGTGGTATGGGTTAATTATATTGCACTTGTTAATGATAATAACATGCATAATAATGCATTATAGAGTTGGAACAGAGAACGTTTATATTCTATCCAGCGTGTATTTATACATTGTAATCACTCTTTTCTGTGTGTGTGTGTGTGTGTGTGTGTGTGTGTGTGTGTGTGTGTGTGTGTGTTTGTGTGTATAAATGCATAGCACTCACAGTCCATGGCCATGCCCACTGCAATGCACTTCTTGAAGCGGCAAAGCTGACACTGGTTGCGGGTGATCTTGTCGATGATGCAGCAGCCATCGTACTTACAGGAGTAGCTGGGGTGGAGGTTCTTCTGAATGGTCCTACGGAAGAAGCCCTGCAGACACACAGCGAGGGGCAGCGGCATTTAATGAAGATAGAGGGAGAGAGCCACTTACAAAGTCGTTGAAAGGACAAGTGTGAGGCTGAAGCCAGGAGACAATATCTAAAAACGTTGTCTCTACCACATATTGCTGTTTGTTGCAGTGTGAATAACAAGCTGGCCGAAGACATTTTAATTACCAATGCTGCTTTTGCTGTGTGATCAAACACATTCAGAAAAAGATCTAATGGAATTTGTTCTGTACCTGACTTGCTAGCAAATGAGGCAATCTGTGTAAATGTTAACTGAGCCTTGTAGTTGCTGGAAGGCAACAGCGTAGGAATCAAACAAACCGTAGCTGGAAATTAAATTCATGAATTAGGCCTTGTATCAGCCAATAATGTAATATTTTTCCTGAAAATGCAGTTAAACTTGAACATATAATAAATGTGCACTTAACCAGACCAATAATGTAATAAAACCCAATAATGTAATAAAACCCAATAATGTAATAACCTGACCAGTAATGCAATAAAATGTCCTGAGTGACATTTTTACTGTATACTTCTCAATGTAAGGTGAGGCTAACTTTGGTCTATCAGGAAATAAATCCAAGTACCCAGGAATTAGATTTAATTTAAAGCGGTGATACTTTTGGACAGGCCCCGTCTTTAAAAATAGAAAATCCATGAAAGGATCCCTATTCATAATCCTGTGGTGGTGTTGTTGAGTTAAAAAGTCTAAACGTCTCCACTTTATATGTTGTGTACTTTAAATATACATAAAGCCTTTAGTTCAGTCGGCTTACATTAGTTATATCGTGAACTCATACACTTTACTCGATAAAACAAGCAAACTTTTCAATATAATTACATTATACTGTAAAATGAAATTATAATAATAATATTATTACAACTTTAAACAAAGGCGTATGATAATACAACAACATAATTAATTATACAGAAGTTCACAACAGATATCACTCAGGTAAACCAAGGAAGACACTGAATAAATACAAAATATATAAAGAAATGAAATGTTATAAAATTAAATTAATGAAAGGCGGATGTCTAACAAAAAGCTAATCATATATCAACAGTGTTGATCCAACTGTAAGATATTACAGTCACTGACATTTTCATGAATTATCGAAATAATATTTTCAATCAGGAAATGTTTTGACTTTACAATGACTATTATTGGGTTTTATTATAGGTGCGATCAAGTGTTTTCAAATTGCAATTAAATGCAGGCATTATCACATTTTCAGGATATCTTAACGTGATTGGGTGCTACGATTGACGCATGAATCTGATGTTTAAATATACTTTTTTTTTAAGATGTCATCAAATCAATCATACGTCAACTACATCAATGCTTACTATCACATTCAAGGCCTTCAGCTATAACATGCCATTGGAAACACACATGAACAGAGCCTGAGTGACAGCGAGGAAGACAACTGGAAGAGGTGAGAGCTGATGTGACAGACTGGCAGGTTTTCATATAAATATGTTTATGTATCATCTTTCTGTGGCTGTACACAATGTGTCTTTGACCTTGCTGTGTGTTTACTTTGAAGAGACTGCTTCAGGGTGTGTGTGCCTGAGGGTGTGTTCGATATGAGTTAGTCGAAGCATCTGACCTCAGAGGCCCCATATCAGGTTTTCTGGCAGATATTATGAGGGTTATGAACCTGCTGTGTCAGAAACTTTTGGTGTGTGTGTGTGTGTACCTTGCAGCCCTCGCAGGTAATGCAGCGGTAGTGGTAGCCTGTGGCCTTGTCGCCACAAACCACACACGGCTCATCCTTTTCGAGGTAGCTGGGGATGTACCCTGAGAGAGAGAAAGTGGGCAAGGACAGAGATGTTAGGCAGAGTTAAATGAAGTATACATTTTTAAACATTGAATATATTCTACACACCAATACCTCTCACTCTCACACTAAATCCACCTCACCTTCAAAATCACATTACTGCTAAGCTCCACTCTAGCCGGCCAACATACCCCACCCAATAAACCCCTACACATTATTTCCACTCGGCTGTCTGTGGAAACACTTAACACTAGCCATCCACTGTTCCTTCACTGTACCATAAACACACTGCGAGATGATATAACGAGCTTCCAAATATCATGGACACACTTAGTTATTTTCAGATGTCATATGTTATTGTATTCATTGGCTGGAATTAAGAAAGTAAAAGCACATTTAGTCATCTAGAAAAAGAGCACAATGTTAGGAGGAGCTTTAGGAAATGCTCGAACGTGATCCTCACATTAACATTCAGCAGTTGGAGCCACTTTCTCTATCTGACCTGCAGGGCAACACAATCAGCACTTCTGTAACAGGTTAAATGGATCCTGTGGAGTGTTTGACCCTGTAGAAGCCCAATGTTTTTACAAGTGGGTCCTCAGTTTGTTTGTTTCCCTGCAGGTGCACAAGGACGTGGACGACATCATACGGATTTTCACCAACTGGTTTCAAGCTATTCCACTGATTGACAGTTGGTGCCATTGATATGCCAGGATATGTGTCAGTAAAGGCAGTGAAGAAGAAGAATGATAGCAAACATATTGCTTCAGTGGCATAATGTTTTTTTAACTGAGTAAATATGTAAGTGGCAGCCATGATAAAGGCCGGTAGAGCTTTCTTAATGCTAAGTAAACATTTGAATTCCTTTTTCCTTTGAATAAGTATGTAGCCTTGTGTAACTGAAGTTAGATATATCATCACTTCTGTCTTTATGAATACTCCTTCACATATGTCCTTGACCTTATTTTCCATTTTCCTAGTATTTATTTATACATTTATATATTTATTAGGCCTTAACATAAAAATTAGTTGTAGCTGATAAATGACTGAATCTAAAAATATAGTTTGTTTACAAGAAAAGTCACCTAGCTTCTTCAACTTAGAAAAGAAGAGACATTTCAGTAATATTTAAAGACACTTAAAGTAAAATCCATAGCATGCACACAATGGCTCTTGGACCACCACTGAAACCACTTCACATCTTTAAAATGTGACTTATTTTAAAGGCCGATTCAGTGATTTAAATGTAAACAAAAGAGAATAACAAAGGGATAACCATTTCTCGTTGTCCTGGTAGCAAGAACCAAACAAATCCTTTTGAATTGCTCTCTATTTGATTGAAATGTGCTGTAATAGGCTAATGAACTCTGGACAACAACTACATTTCAGTTCTTCAAGTTTTCTTCTAACACGACTGGTTTATAATAAGAGCAATGCTTGAAAACCTTAGCTTATGTCAGCTCTATAATTTGAATTCATTACAGACAGAAAGCTTAGTTTCCACTTTCTCTTCACATATAACGTATATAAGCAAACCTCAAATGAATGCGGTCACAACACTACAGGTCGGGGGAGTAACGTTGATATAATTGGGTTTTAACCAAACAGAATTGGCTACATATATTACAAGGTATATGGGTTCCATAAACTTAAGTGGCTGAACACAATTTACAGTATTTGGATTGTTCTCTCTCTGCAGCCGGCCCTCTGCTTTAAACTCGAGAATAGGACAGTTTGTTCTCTTTCCATTTAAAGACCAGGGAGACTGAGGGAGTGAGCATATACAGAGACACAGGAAATAGCAGATAAAACACACACACACACACACACACACACACACACACACACACACACACACACACACACACAACACACACACACACACACACACACACACACACACACACACACACACACACACACACACACACACACACACACACACACACACCACACACACACACACACACACACACACACACACACACACACACACACACACACACACACACACAAAAAGCCACTGGCAGAGCTTTGTAGTCTCTACATACGTGTGTGTGTGTGAGTGACGTTCTCATGACATATATGCTAATGTCTGTGTGTATACCGAGGCGTGGTGAGAGCTGTGACTGGCAGTGTCAGTTGGGCTCTGCCTTTTGGCGTTGTTACAGATTTGAAAGGAGGAGGGGGGAGGGCAAGAGGAGGATTGTGGGAAAGAGAGAGGAGGAGGAGGAGGAGGAGGAGGAGGAGGAGGAGGAGGAGGAGGAGGAGGAGGAGGAGGAGGAGGAGGAGGAGGAGGAGGAGGAGGAGGAGGAGGAGGAGAGATGACAGCCAAAGGAGCACAGGTGACATTTTGCCCAAATTGATTTAGATTTATCTTGGAAAAGGCTCCTTGCGTTGATTAGTTAAATAGAAGGAGAAAAAACAAAATAGGCTCAAGTGTATATTTTTTTATTACAACTAACGAAATACAATGACCCCGATTCTTGAGAGAGGGGAAAGGAACACATTGACGCAAGTGGACAACAAGTAAATAATACAAAACTACACTGGAGGGGGGGGGGGCGAGGGAGGAGAAACAGACCGGAGGAAAGATAAGTAGGACATCAGTGAGCGATCATATAGGAAAAATGTCAGCTCCAGTGTGTTGGCAGGGCAAGCAGCAGCCCGGTCCTGAGCCAGTCTGCTGAGGACTGTGTTTGGGAGCCAAGCCCCAATCAATACCCCTGCAGCTCTGGCTGCCCGCCCCACGCGCCGCTACGGCCGCTGCAATACCTCCACCAACAGAACACAGGGAAGGGGAGGGAGGTTTTTCTAGTGTGGCCGAGAAATATTTGGTCTTCACAAGTTTCCCTCACACAACATCTGTCGTTTCGTGTAATCAAAGCGTGTAAATCAGGCTGGTATGAATCGGGTCCCTGAAGGGGTCTCAGGATTGTTTCTCGGAGGTAGTAACACAAAAACAGCACAGTGATGTGATATTAAGGATTGTAAACATTGACGTCAGCGCATGGGAAAACTGTACAGAAGCTGGATTTTGAACAAAAAAGGAATCTACTACGCCTTCTGCTGCTGTGTTAATTGTTCCTTTCCTGACTGGCACAAATAAAGTCATATATTTCCCATTTATTTGAATAAAAAGGGCCCAATTACAGTGATTACATACATCAGGGCTGTGTTTTGAAGGTTTATTAACTATTTTAAACCCTAAGTGATTTAATTTATATTCATATTAGATGGTTCAAATAGAAAAAAACAATATCTGGCATGATTAAACTGAACCAAAACAGTAAAGCTAAATCCGTAAAAACCAAGGTGATGAGCTGAAAGACGCTAAAATACTGAATAGAGAGTAATTCTCCACAAAATGATTGAATCCATTGTTGAGTTATTATTTCATTAACCATTCATTTATCACATTCAACACTAGAACTGCAACTGCATTTTTTCACATTAATTATATCTCAGTAGTGGTAACTTTATGTGAAAAACGTCTGCAAAATCATAACAGAATTCATATTTGCGTTAAGAAAATCTATTAAAACATATGCTTCTTCACTAAATCTGTATTATGAGCAGTGGTTAAAACATTGACCAATATTTTTGCATGTTTTAGAGTCTTTAGTGTCCTGGAAGTGTTTTGTCGAGGGTCGACTCTCCCACAGGAAATCGCTGACATCATGACAGTGCACGTAATCTGATCTAATGCAACCAGGCAGACATATTGTCATAGTTTCCCAGTTGAAATAGACCGTGGCAGGTAGAATATGGTACAAGATTCCAACAGTGATGCAGAAAGGCAGACAAACAGCTTGCAGGGAGGGAAAACATGTGGAGAGGAATGGCCTTGGAAGATATCTTTTATAATTGCCAATTCAACAATCCTGTACATTTGTCTGTGTTGGTGTTCCTCCCACCCTACCAACTCCGTCACCATCACTCTCTCTTACCGTCTTTATTCGCTTCTTTCAGCTCGGGGGATTTGGAGCTGTCACTCAGACAACGTGCTGCGTCCAACAAGAAAGCAGACAGAGCAGAAGTCTTTTCGTTTATTGATGACAGATGCCAAGATGTTTTACTTTTTTCCTTTTGGAGGTGACAAATCGAAAGCGTAATGTACACAAGGCAGCAATGAATCATGTATTACTAGCTTCTGTGCAGTCAATCAACTGCATGCATACACTGTGGCGAGACTGACAGCTACAATATTCCTATATACATGTGTCTAATATAGCTGGAGAAATTGCTGGGATAGCGATTTTCAAAATGAATGGTTCCCTGCTGCATTTGGAGAGCTTTTATTCTCTAAAAGTAAAAGAGACTTTCAAACAAAATCTGACTTCATTCACACTTCAGGTACGAAAGTGAAGGTTTGTTTTCCTAGCTGCCACTTCAGAGCTGCATTAGTAAGTCTCTCTCTCTCCAAATCAAAACACCAGTCATCCGTTACTCACCAGTCATACTCTTCAACGAACATTGGCTGTTCTTTCTCTTCCTTTTCGGGCCATTGAGCCACCTGAAAGATTGGAAAACAGAGAGAAAGGCAGAGACATAAGTGAAATTGCATGTTAATACACTATACATTTATGTATCAGCCACATATAAAAGAAAACATTTGCTCCAAAAGTTGCAGGGGACCTAGTTCCACCTGTTCCTGCTAACTCAAACTGCCAAGCAAAGAACTAGAGTAGATTGAATGGAGACATGTCATGTTTGTTCACATGTCCATCAACTTCTCCATCAAGCTGAGGAGAATGCTTATTTACACCATGCAGGTGCAAATACAAGGGTTTCTTTGATCCTTTCTTTTTATTACAGGTGATAACAGGTAAAGATCAGATGTTACACCAGATGTAATTGAGGTCTATGACCAAGTTAGAGCACAACAAAATAAAGGAAACAGTCAGTTTCAGTAGGGCTGTTTTAAATAGTTCCTTCATAATCATTCAAATTCTTAATCAACATTCTAATGCTGTGCATGCATGTCTAATTATTTCATAAAATCTGCACGGTTGCAGATAAAGATGAGGCTACGGTGGTATTAGTATAAAACCATTAGTAGAATCAGATCCCAGTGCTGGCTGCATAGTAATGTTTCAGACAAAAACAACATGTTAGTTCCTGCACACAAAGGGAAGGGTATTTTATCTACTCAAATCTAAAAACCCTTTGATTCAAGCAGGTCTCATAAGCTCATAACAAGGCCTTACAGACTTTTACAAACCTTTCTGTATTAGTCTCATCTGGCATTACACCATCTTACATCATCAACAACAACCACAACAACCACAGCACTGTTTGCCGGTGTTATGGAGCTTTCCAGACCAAAGAAAGAATGTGTACTCGTTGGCACTTCTTTCTCTCAAATAAGATATTTCCTAAAAGGTGCTCCCGACCCGAATTGGTGAAAAAAACGATATTGTGGGAAACAGACTTTAACCCCCAAATCACTCCAGTTATAAGCATACACATGGCACGGCCGATAAAATGAGATGTAACACAAACTCTATTAAGCATCAAGCATACGCAAAGCAACATTCTCAAAGCATGTGCACTCAAACACACCTCCAACCACACTGACGCTATGTGAAAGGCATGTAAAGCACAGATGGGAACTGGCTGCTCTGAAGGGAATTATGAAAGCGTTGAGATGGAGGAGGGATAGAGTTAAGTAGAGGAGGGGCATTTCAGAATAGAGAGTATGTGAGAGAGTCAGTGAGTGCTCCTCGCCAGTGCTTGATGTGTTGAGAATCCCAAGAGTCCGGCTCTCTGCTCTCAGACACTGCTGAAGCCCCCAGCTCTCCCCCACAGCCCTTTAATCCCAGCTCCAGGAGAGGGAGCAGGACTCCATTTACACCATATAGAGAATTAAAGTCCACTCTGTTCAAATGCAATACTGGTTACATTAGCCCTGTAAAGGAGCTGAGGTACAGTGTGTTATTCATTATCTCTTTCTGATGTTATACCTTTTTCCCATTAGATATTTAAGCACTTTGTGATTTTGGGCTGTGTGTATATATAGCAATTCAATAATCGTCTAATAAAACACCCCTATGGTACTGACGTGTTCAACTTCTGTGTTATTGTGACGTGAGTTTTAAGTGAAGTAGGCCTGAATCAGAAACCGACTGACCATATTTATTTCAAACAGCAACGTTGATTTTTACTGGCATTTGGAGTGCTGCTAATTTTGGACCCTGTATTTAGCATACATTAAAGTAAAGTGATTTTTTAAAAACAATATCTTTATCAAACGTGTCAATTAGCACTTTTCTGAAGGAATTGATTTATTTTAAATATATGTCCCTCTTCACCAAACGCTCAATATAAGCTAAATCCAAAGTATTAAAAAAACTCATTTCAATTAAATGAACTTTTTTTATATTCCTCTATAGTTCATGTTACACATCAGATGCTACTGGCAAACAACAAAAAGGTAATGGACATGTTTGTGGCTGAAGATCAGTCTATCAATTGAAACTCTGGAAATCTATATTAAAATAAATAAATAAAACGCAAACTATTTCTAAAGGTTTGATTAATATGGTCCCAGCTGTTGCATGATGGGATAACTCACTTTCTGAAGATTAAGCGTGAATACTGACACCTCTGATTATATAAGAAATCATCACTTCATAATATTCATTTGAAACTGAGATTCAGTGGTGAAAAAACAAGGATTTTAGTCATTCAGTGCATGAAAACACATTTTTTGTTTTCATGCTTAATGATAAGAGGTTTAATGCAAAGTGAACAATACCCCCTTATCAAAAGGTCATATTGACAACATTTGTTTTGCTTGTTAACGACCAACAGTTTCCTTCTTCTCCTATAACTCTACATGTTTTTATATCTCACACCACTTAGCAGTGTTTGCCCCTTTAAAACTAAGAAGCATAATTGCTTGTTAAATTCAGAAGTTGCTGTAATGGAGCTTAAATGCCAATTCCCCCTGCCCTTCACATTTAACCTTAACCTCAACTATAGCACTGTTTTGTTCTCAGTTATGGTTCCTTTTGCCCTTTTCAGAATGCACCAGACAGCTTAACAAGGCATTCAATTATCTCTTAAAAAGCCTATTGGGTTAGAGTGTGATTCTTCCAAATAAGAATCCGGTTTATTTCTAAGAACATTTTTACATACAGGGTACCTTGCTTCGATTAATTGGTGCATTACATAATCTTAGAAACAGGAACAAAATATTATAAAAAAAGCAAGTATTGCAAAAATCTATAAACATAAATATAGAATAGTAGACCCATTTAAATAAATATGAGCAAAATATCTGAAATAAAAAATGGGAGAGAAGTAGTTTTGTGTGGTGGGGAAATGTGTAAAATTGTCTGAGAGTATCCTGATTGTTGTGCCTCTAGCAAACTATCTAAAATACAGGATATACTGTTCCTATCATGATGGGATGTATAAATGGAGGCTATCTGACATGGCAACTGTGTTTAAAACAACAGGATTCAGGTTGCTCACCTGTGAAGCAATGCTACTTGTGATACAACACCACCAATAGTTGCGAGGTGGTTATTTCACAATGTAACAGGTTAAGAAATCCGAGAGCTTTTGAACATGGCCGACACTTCTCATTCATATAGTGGGAAAAGGTCAATGTCAGTAGAGGCTGAGGAGACATAATTAAAGCTGTCACAGCAGCAGAAAGACAAGGTTGGGCTTTCACTGACTGCCATTTGAAGGTAAATACCTTTCTCTCTGCCAACTCAATTCCACATCAATCCATACTGCAGCTGGAGGCGACAAGCTTCAAACTGACAGCTCTGTGGCAGAGCAGTCCTCCCATGTGGCAGTATGTTGTTATGTTGGCAAACTGGATAACAGCAGAAACACTTTATTCAGGTCTCTGTCACTCCAACAACAACCCCACCTTCTCTGCATCTGCCCTCCCTGGATGTCAACAACATGTCCCTTATAGATGTCCCCACCTGACACACGTTAAACTGTGTAGCTAATAAACCCAGATATTTGGCAGAGCAATGATATAATAATGAAATTAAGAATCATGGTTCTCTGAATAAGCACTACAGTATGCTTTTGTTAAGATAAATCCCAAAATAGCACTAATGAAAATACTAGCACTACGGCAGCTATAAAAAGAGCTTAGCACTCCTGGCAGAGCCCCAGAAGTGCTGTTCACTACTTTAAAAGCTCTGAGTGGAAAGAGTGTCAAGTGGCCCTAAGAAGCAAGCAACAACATAAATACAAACACAGTAGGTACAAATACACCTCAGTATGAAAAACTATTTACTTCATGTCTAACAGGATGGTTTGGAGCAAAACTCTGAACAAACAGACAAACAGAAAGACATTTAGGTTTAGGAGCTTATGCTGGAAAGCATGTAGCTCAACAAGCTCTGAAATTGTATCACTCAGCCGGTGAACCTGCGGCCACATAGTGAAAATACAACAACGCCTGTACATGGCTGAAAACATCATGCATAATTGAATCTTTTTTAATGGAATGTGAGTTTTTGCAGGTCGGGGCAAGACGCCCTGTGCAATGCAGGCGTACCACAGAGCGCTTTTCAATTTCCAGCTCTTACACTCTGACGGGACATGAATTGCGACACACCGGCAAGTATACAACGTCCCCGCACACACTGTGCCTCGCAGCAACCTGAGCCAACCCCACAGAGACGTGCACATACTGTACTTTCTCTGCGGCCCCTCCAGCACACACAAGTTGACATGTAAGAGCAATGATATGATTCCTATGGCCCCTATGCAGAATATGCACACACGTTGCACAACTACGAGCACACACTGTCCAAGACAAATACAGAAGAGTCAACAAAAGATGTCACGAAAAAAGACTTACAGTGCTGACCTGATGCCGCAGTGGGACTGTAAAATATGCATGGCAGACGAGGACTGCTAGTTGAAGATTCAGATCTAGATGACTAGCTGCTACACAGCAATCATACATGGACTAACACTCTCTCTTTCTCTTTCTCTCTCTTACACTCTGATGTCTCTAGCAGTTGTGCTAAGTTTAGCCAGCCAACCCACTCAAATACACTCTGCCTCTCCCTCCTCCTTCCTCTAATCTGTGGGACTTTCTTTCTCGGTTGCTAGTACCACCCATTCTACCCTGATTGGAGGACAGCCAGCCTCTCCACCTGTGACTTTGACAGTGACTGTGGAGTGCGTCCAACATGTAATTGCTGCGCTGTCGGGTAACTGAGCACTCTCCAGAGACGTGACTATTTTAAGAGAGTGCAGTTTTCATTAAGGCTTTCATTAGCAAAACAGCACATCCACACCAGGCACAGATAACTATATCTCATTAATGATAATTGCTCTTATGTTGGTACATTTAAAGAATAAGGGTTGGGATTATTCTATTGATGTCTTGGTGTCAACAAAAGCAACAATGGGTCTCTAAATTCTTTATTTAACCCAACCCGTCTGTGGCTCATTGGTTCCCTGATTTGGCATAAAAATAAAAGCCTATAGATAATACGTGTTTATTTTTTTTTAAAGGGATCATTC